GAAGTCACAGGCATAGGTAAGGACTTTCTGAACAGAACTCAAGTCCCAAGATACAATAACAAGAATCAATAAATGGGTTTATATCAAATTAGAAAGCTTCTACACAGCAAAGGTAACAACCAACGGAGTGAAGAGACAATCTCTTAGGATGGGTAAATTTTTTGCCAGCAGAATATATGAAGAACACAAAAATAGCATAGATCTTCAATAAATATTTGCTAGATTAAGTTAAATCAAAGTTCAGTCCCCCTGTCTTATAAGCCTTCCAGAACTCTATCATAACTGTACATGTCCATTCTGCATGTACTTTGGAAACAAATACATCTGCTGATATCATTTTTGTTTCTCTTTTGTGAACACCAGTGGGAGGATATAAAAGTACAGTGGACCCTCAAGTTACTACCGGCCTGGCATATGAATGACTTGGGTTAATTAGGTTAATGGAAGATTCATCTGCCTCTTGTTATCTATAGTGTGTACCCAGGAAAACATCCAGATCTCGGCTGTACTTACTTAGTTACAACCAGCCCTTGGAACCAATCGAGTTCATAAGTCAAGGGTCCACTGTAGATGTGACTTTCTTCTGAGCATCCGAGGCAAATGTACAAATACCATTTTAATTGTGAACACTTAGCTAGTCCCCAATGCATGCCATGCACTGCTGGAACTGCAGGAAATAAAAAGATAAATAGAGCTGCAAGGATAGACCAATTTTTGGTTTTAGATATTGGACTGGCTCCAATGAAATGTGCTATATTTTACACATAATAAATTAAAATTGTTTCTTGGCTATTTTCATGGAGCCTGGAGATAACTCACTAGTTGTACAAGGTTGTACTACTGTTCTAACTCATTTGTTTAGCCATTTCCTCTCCTTTTCCTCAGGTAAGTTCTGGAACTGGATGCTGAGAGGAAAGAGGTGGACCATAGAAAGGAAGATGGGTCACACTTGTCTTGGGTTATAATCCTGTCTAAATGCTGGCAATGCCAGTGTAAATCAAAGAGAAAGCCCTGTGAATTTCAGATCCCATAAGTCTTCCTAGGTTGGCTATCTGACTAACCTTGTGCTGGATAGTGGCATGCTGTAAATCTGAAACTTAGATGGTGCCCTCTGAGATGCCTGCAGGACATACTTACATGCTGCATCTACCTAAGTGCTGTGGTTCTGGGCTCAAGATCTCTAGAAACTGGGTTAAGACCCTTCAAATAGCGAATGTAATTTTTCATATAAGAACAAGGTACCTTCTCTCTTGGAATTCTTTTAGTTGCAAATGTCTGGACAGGCAATAGTAGTGCAGATCCCTACCACAAGCTTCCTTTCTTGTGCTCCCTGACTGTGACTCAGTGACATTGTAACACACCGCTGAAATTGCCTCACACCTGTTGTCTGTGTACTCCACCCTGACCCAATAAAGGCACTAACCCTTGGGTGTCTCTTCTCCCCCATCTCCCTGGGAGTTCCTCCCATCCAGACCCTGCCATGGTCTGGCCACCGTACCTTCTATCTCTAGGGCCCACGAGTACAAATCCATTAATGTCACATGTGTCCCTTGGTAGGATTCCCACAGCTGTGTTGGTGTGATCTAACAAACAGACACACCCCCTGTGTACACTACAAGCACACAGCTCTAGAGAGTCATAACCATTTCCAGAAATATTGATGTTACAAATTAAGCTAATAAAGTACAAAGTAAAATGTCTCATCCTCCTACATCATCACCTATATTTTCATGAAATAAAATAGAAAAATCTGTGATTGAATCAGTTCTGTGATTGAATGAGTATAAAATGACATATATAGATATATTTCAAATATAAAAATCAAAATAGTCAACAAAATGAATATATTCAAATTTTTTCTTGCCTTCATTTCAGTAAAATCACTGAATATGACATTACAATGGACATTTTTATAAAATTTGATCTCTAGATAGTAATAATATTAGCTGAAATAAAATGTCATAATCAAAATCTACACAATCAAAATGTACACAATTTGAATGTTTTAATCAAATATATTAAAGTAAATGTAAAACCTTTTAACTGAATTTTCATATATTTAAAGTTATTTTCAAATTATTCAAAGTTTTCATTAGAATTCAAAGTAAATACAAATTAACATTAAAAGATATTAAACCTTTAAAATTTAAGCAACTGAAAAAACTGATTTAACTTTTAAAATATCATAAATTTTATGACACAGTCATGATTTCAGCATGTGATGTTTATATTTTAATTGCCAATCTAAAGAGCTTTATGCAGGTTGTATTTACACTAACATCTATACAAAATTAGAGCAATGTAAATCAACATTGGGAAGCATTTCTCAGGCACCATGTACAAAGTTCTTTTCTCAGTGATTTTGAAGCTATGAAATAGAACAGGAAGTAAAGCGAAGAAATGATCATTAATTTTTGCTAGGAAACAAAATTCATTGTGAGAGAATCTACTGAGCTCATATTATGTCCAAGGATTTGACATGTTAATTAATTTATCCTTTCTCTTTCCTAAATATTTGTGTCACTCAGTGCCTCCTTATATTTCTAAGTAGTGTTCATCACCAAGAGTAAGAACTTCAGCCAATTATTCTCCCATCCACTTGAAAAAGATCTTCCTGTTAAAGTGAGTCAAGAGAAAATTAAGATAGTCAAGTCCAAATTCTAATGGCTACACACACGTTTCAGTTATTTGTTTGAAACATTAAAATTTTTGTACAAGAACTTGCAACGATGTGACTCATTCCTGGCCTGAATGTATACTGTGCAGTGTAAGGATATAAGCAATAGGCCAAAGAGTCCAGGTAAGGACTTCTATAGCACATGATACAACTGATTTTAGCCTAGCCCCTAATGTCAGAAACAGGAAACACATTATTTCACACTGGACTGGAGGCAGCAGCTTCAGAAGTCTCCATTTCCTGTTTCATTCAGTTTGGACACCTCATATTTGCACATGTCATAAAAGCTGATTGCTATTTGCATATGAATATGCCTGCTTTGTGACCAATGCCTGCTCCTCTCAGAGCATATGACAATGTTTCCTGGTTTAATAGCTGGAGTGCTGATTCGCAAAGCACATTTCCACTTGAAATCCTCTTTGGGGAGTCATGAATGTTCTGAAATACTTTCCTTAAAATTCCTACCTAATTGTCAACTGGTTTATCTTAGCCAGAAAACTATCTACATGGTTTCAAAGTAAACTGCAAAATATCCTGAAGATGTTACCATTGTATTTTCTTGACTCTAGTTGTAAAAACCTACAGAAAAATAACATTTTCTAAAAACCAATTGATATTTTGTTCAGGTAAAACATTAGTAGACAGTGTCAACATTAGAGACCAGATAGGCCTATGTTCAGATCCCATTTCTACTACTCTAAGTGATTTGGGGCAAGTTATCTGACTTTTTTGAGTCTCAATTTCTTCATTTGTAAATGAGATCATAATTCCTTGTTTATGTTGCCATTGTGAAAATTAAACAGCACAACCACTGTGGAAACCCTGGCATACAGTGAATCTAAAAATACATCTATGAGTATCAACTAGCAAAAAATTATGAAAACTGGCTATAATGAACTCATTCATCAATCTAATAAGTACATATTGACTCAACCAAATGCCAGGCAACTGGGCCAAGGGCTCAGGATTCAAAGCCGTGGTTTTGCATAGGAGCTTAACATTTTCACAGTGACATAGATATGCATAACAGAGATGAGAGCAGTATGGAAACACAAATGGTGGAATAGGTAACTTTCCTGGAGAAGTTGGGAAAGTCTTCCTAATAAGCCAACAGGATGAGCAGAAGTCTGGAAGGAAAGAATGAGGAGGGCAGAAGACTGCAAAGGCATGGAGTTATGAACAGGACTTCCCCTTCCCTTCAAGAAAAGTCAAAAGCTGGAAAGGATATAACCATGTCAGACCCCTTAGGTGACTAACCTGAACCAGCAAGACCCAGCTTATTTATTTGAAGGCAGAGTGGAGGTACCATATAATCCTCCAATGGTGTGGCTATAATCGAGCTCAAGGAAAATTTCAGTTCTCCAAGATGTGCCATTTTTGATGGTTTGACTGGAGAAAGTTCGGACCAAAGCCACTCAGCACAGTAATGTTTGCTTGTTAGTATACACCAATTTTCTTAAAATGTACCAAAATGGGAGTTGAAGGAAAATTGTTATTTTGGACCTAAGACTTGTGATTTCTAGTTCTTCCTTCCCCTGTAATTTTTGTGATGTGTTGCCCTTTTCAAAAGGAACACCCTGGGATGTATTCTAAAAATCGCTATTACCAAAATGCAGGCTTGTTGATAACAAAATAGCACTTGATTCCAGAAGCTGGAAGAAAAGATGACCCAACATTTTTCTGCAGAAAAGATATCCTCAAGTCTGGCAAAGTTATGTGCCAACTATCCAAAAGACTTGATTCGAAAGTAGTGAAGGTAACACCGTGGCTAAAGCATCCAAGAAGGGAAAATCCTCAAGCAAACACCCAGGAAGAGCAGAGCTTGGCAAGGCAAACAAGTCCATTACTAAAGATGCCTCCAAATGCCTTCAACAGATCTCTGTGGGAAATAACAGCCTTCCTGCTCTTGGGGGAACTGTCCGAGTACAATAGCTGGTTCCCACACAATCGCTCTGATGTGCCAGAGGTGGAACAGAGGGCTGATGGGGCTGTAGGAGGAAATACTCCTCAGACTTTGAGAACAAGGCTTCCAAAGGCACAGAAATCAAACTGAGCCCAAAGCGAGCTAGTTATAGTATCTAACGCTACTCACTCTCCTTATCAACTGTGGATTCATTTACCACATAGTTTAGCTAATGACTCGATTCCAAGGGAAGAAATATTTTGTTTACACTCAGTATTCTTCTCTTGTAATAATCTCTCATTATAATCTTTGAAGATCTGACAGATATTTAAGCACATGCTAAGGAAAGTCTAAATTACAAAATAATCATTTCATAGGTTTTGTTTAATAAAAGGAAGCCAGTTGTTTTAATCCACTCACCATTCCGTGATTCAACCACCCTGGGATAAAATTATCAAGCAACTTCGGGTATATCATCTCTCTGTCATAGGCATAGATGATCCAGAACACAGCTACAACGAACTGCAAGGGAAAAGAAATCTTTTATTTCAAGTTCATCAGTGATCTACAACATAGAATTTGCTGGTTATCTATTGTTAAAAGAACCTAATATAATCTGGAAGCTGTGCTCAAAGGCAGAGTAGTAACCTAGTTAATGACTGGAAAGATGGTTTAGCTTCATTCGCTCAGGGGTGACAGTTGGGGGCCTCCTATCTCTTCAATCTCTCAATTGTGTCCTCTCTGCAGAGCATTCTGTTGTGAGAGAGACCAGCGAGGCCTCTTGTGAGAAACAGCATCATTTCCGTGTAACTTGTGCTGGTTTGATTCCTCTCACGAGGGTTTAAAAGTTCACTGGTGTTTTCTTTTGGGTCCCATTCCCCACTGTACAGAGTCAGCACACACTCGAGAAGCTATAGATTCGGTCCCTTTTCCTCAATCCCATCATGTGGTTTAAATTAATCTTCACCTTCTCAAGTTTCCATTTCACCACTAACAGCACCAAAACCACCACTTATAAAATGTCCCAAAGTCACATTTCTAGCAAATGTATTCATTTATACAGCCTCAGCTGCACTGAGAAGCAGGGAGTGTGGCAGTTAAAGGATGACTCCGAATCCTCTTGGAATCATTTAGAAGTGCATCTGAGTTCCAGAGGTTTGTTTTGGCTCATTAGCAACATAATCATAGAAAGAGAGTAGAGCACTTGATTTATTATTTTAATGTGTTTTGAACTAATGGTGAGCAAAGAAGCTCAGATAAAATAAAGAAATGAATGGCCTTAGCCTTCAGCACAGAATTTAAAGACAAAATAGATGCCTGTGTAAATGTAAAACAAAAAATAACACGAAAAAGGGACACATCCTACAGGCATCACAACGCCTATGGAACAATCTCTCAAACTAAAAAAATACTGTAGAATAAAAAAGCAGCACAAATATTACACAAAATAATTTTAGTCCATTTTTATAAGTCATTCATGCTCCCACATTTTACTACTGCAAATAATAAATATTTTAAGGCCACTTTTTATAAGACACTTGGCTATGCTTGGAAACTCAAGGTTAGTAGTCAGAAGAATTCCAAAATTCTTTTCCAACTGTGTCAGTTATGACTTGGGTAATCTTGGTCAGGGAGGAAAAATCACCCTTAAAAACTTGGATGTTACAAATATTTCTTATTTTATAAAACATAATGGTTGATCATTATAGTAGGCAACTATAGATTATATTTACTGCTTTACTATCAGATTGGGATTTCAGTTATTTATTTTGCTCTTGGGTCAACTATTTTCACTCTCAGTTTATAAATTATCAAGAGAAAAAAGAGAAAAGACAAAGCTTTAGCTTCAGGTTAACTACTACACCTTTTCAAGTACAAAGAATAATTTTTGAATTATCCACAATATTGAATTATTCATTTCACTTCAGACTTCAGACGTACTGAAATCCATGGTAACTGCATTTATAAGGTACATATTTGATAGTTACTTTAAATCTTTATTACATTACCTCTCAACATTACCTCCTTACACCAGGCTGGGGAAACAGAGTACCACATTTCTCTTTTCAACAAATAGAGAAATCCAAATTTTCTTTTCAGTTTAATAACATTTGTTCATATATAAGTTTTCATTTACAAGAAATGCAACGGAAACTGTCACTTTATTGATTTTCACCCCAGTAACGGGTGATTACGTAGAAGAAATCTACAGTGCATTTACCCTATTCCTATTTTTTGAAGAAAGAATTTGCTAAGGAAAATTAAAACTAATTGGACTTTAACATGTACAGACACATAACAACAGTAAAAAGCCTGTTAATTTTTTTGGTACCGGGGATCGAACTTGGGTCCTTGCACTTGCGCTTGCACAGCAGGTGGTGAAACCACTGAGCTAAATCCCTGGCCTAAAAGCCTGTTAATTTTTTTTCCTCTGAATGACCTTCAAACTGGCAGTCTGAATTATTTGGTGAAACAAAGTCCAGACTTCAAGTGATTTAAGTGGCGGCAGGGACAATGGAAGGAGAGTCCTATTCATGACCGTGGCTGTGAGATGAGAAGAGAGACAGACCTGTAAAAGGGCATCTGGAGGTCAGTGTGCTTTTACAAAACAGGAGGCCTGGACAATACTTAGTGGCTAGAAGTTGGAATAAATGGACAAGGAAGATAGGGAATGACTGACAATCAAAACTCAAGAGAAGGCAAGGATTAGGATTATGCACACTGGCCAGGCGTTCTTCCCTTTTTTAAAGTGAGATGAAGCACTTTTGCTGACAGTTGGAAATGTGACTGAGAACAGAATGGAAATTATTTGGGGCATTGCTGTGGATACTGTGCTGGGAATGCAAAGAGATATTTAGAACCAACACGAATCAGATGATTCAAGTGAGGTTTAATGATACAATTGTGAAGAAAAATTAACCCAGCTTCTTCCAGGTCTGTGAAAACAAGGATTTAGAAAGAGGATCCTTCCTGGGGTGTCTTAGTGCCATAGCCTGGTAACTGAGAGAGTCAGGAGATCTGAAATGAGAATGTTATGAGGTCAGGAAGAAGATCCTGTAAGTGACTGATCAGCATTTCTAAGACGTTACCTGGGCAGGGGCATTGCCAATGGAGATATCACATATAAATCTACTTGTGACATATAGAGTCCAGTTCAAGATAATCTTTCTTATTTTCATTTTCTTCTTGCTGTATAGACTTGACAACTCTCCATACACCTATCAAATTAGGGCTGATCTGATGCCTCAGTACCAGGAAAGCATTGCCCGATTAAACAGAAGAACTGCCCTTGGATGGCCGATTACTCTGTGTGGTCCCATGCAACTCCCAAGTCACCTAAGAGTTTGTTAGATATGCAGAACCACAGGTTTTCCCCCGCTGTGCCCTGATTCAAATAAGTTCCTTAAGTTCATATCATGCAATTATATGCACATAAAAGTCTGTGAAGTACTGGAGGCCTAATGCTTCTCTGTGGAGTAAAGAGATCCCAGGCCCAGTGGCTTGTCTACCCAGATCCTGTGCCCTCCCCTTCTAGATCACATCCAAATGACTTTTACCCTGGAATTCCCTACACAAATACATGTAAGGTTGCTTTATGGTCTATGTGAGCCCTCACTTCTGGTCTGATCTGAAAATGGGCTTGGCAATAAATGTGTTTGAAAGGTAGTTTAGACACGTCTATCTTTAGGATGAGGACCAAAATTTTACTTTTGGTCAAGGTGTCCACAAGAAGGCAGAAAACCACTTCTTCCCTATGTGGAACCACTGGTGGAAGTCCCTTTACCTTTGCTACCTAAGATAACCTAATCATAGACAAATCCCATCCTACTCACAGTCCTCTTCTGCTCTCGGGAAGGGGATTACACAGGCCTGGACAGCAGGGGGCAGAATCTTGGGAGCTATGTGAAAATTCTGCTTACCACGGGCTCTGTCTACCCGTTCTTCCTCCAAAATTAACTATTTTAAATCGTTCACATTTCTATTTGACTATTAGAATCTCAGCTAGTTAATTTCCAGAAACATCCTCCTAGAATTCTCATTGTGGCTGGGGAGAACTAACCTCTTAACAACATTTAATCTTCCAATCATGAATATGTTATATTCATATATTTATTTAGGGCAACTCTAATTTTTCCCAGCAATGACTGTAGCGCAATGCATACATTTTGTTGAGTCTATCCCTAAATATTTCATGTATTATGATGCAAGTATACATGGTCTGATATCTTTTACATTCTTTGTTTGCATTTTATAAAAATGTAACAGATTTTGTGCATACTGACATTGTTTCTTATAACTCTGTTAAATCCACTTAGTAGTTCTGGTAGATATTTTAGAAATTATTTTGGATTTTTATACCTACTTGGTCTGTAAATAAAGACAGCATTTCTTCTTCCTTTAAAATTTGTATGCCATGGGGCCAGGGATTTAGCTCAGTGGTTCTGGCGGCTGCCTTGCAAGCGCAAGGTCCCAAATTCAATCCCCGGTACCAAAAAAATAAAAAATAAATAAAATAAAATAAAATTTGTATGCCTTTTACTTCTTCCTTTTCTTTTCAAATTGTGCTTCCTAAGGCCCTGAGTAGAAGTGATTTAGAGTGAATTTCTTTGCCTTCTTCCTTGTCCTAGAAAACTGTCCAGTCTTTCAACGTTTAAGTTTGGTATTAGCTGCAGATTTGGCTCTGATGCTCTTTCTCAAGTTGAGAAAGGTTTCTTCTATTCTTACTTACTTAGGCATTCTTTCTATCTACAAACAAATATTTGTCATGAGGGTGCTAAGTTTTTCAGATGGTTTGTTGTATATCTTGAGATGATGATAGTTTTTCTATATATTTAAGTTTCTATATATTTATATTTAATAGTTTAATAGTTAATATATTTAATATGATGAATTATATCCATTTTGAATGCAAACCGACATTTCATTCTTGATCATTAAGTATTATAATTTATATATACATGTTGCTAGATTCAATTTGCTGATATTTTGTTAACGATTTTCTTTTTATCTCTATCATAAAGTATACTGATCTATAGTAATTTTCTTTTCTTATGAGCTGTTCATCCAATTTTGGTAAAAAGATAATGCTAGAGTCAAAAAATGAGTACGAAGCGTTCCCTCCTGTATTTTCTGAAAGAATTTGTACCAGACTGGCATTGTCTCTTATCTAAGTGATACACGTCTCCATTAAAGCCATCTGTTCTTATACTTTTTCTTGTAGGCAGATTTATTTATGAATTTCCTTTCTTTAATAAAAATAAGGCTATTCAGGCTTTCTAACTCTTTCTCAAGTTAATTTTAGACATTTTTACCTATTGCAGAATTTTTCCATTTCATCTGCAGTCTTTTGTTTTTGTTTTTCATTTCTGTTTGTTTGTTTGTTTTCCTTTTTGGTGCTGGGGACTGAACCAGGGTCTTGTACATGGTAAGGTGGGGCTCTATCACTGTGCTACATATCCAGCCCTTATGTACAGCTTTGAATTTATAAAGTCATCCTTAAGATTTCACCATGGAAATTGGAA